CATTTCTTAAAATATGTTTGTATGCATGTCAAGAGAAAGAGAGAGACTAACATTAATTGCTTTCCCTCACTAATTATTTGACAGCAATTTGAAAAAAAAGAAAGAAAAAAAAAAAAACGAAAAATGTATTTTTAATGAACAGCAATAAAGAACAAAAGAGAAAAATTACAAGAAGAAAAATTTGCTTATTGGTAAATTTATGAGAGAGATTGTTTGATTTTGCCGTCAAATGAAATGCCTGACAATTGTAAAAGAAAGTGTAGAACTGAACTTCCTGTGATTATAACTGTATAGAGTTATCAGAATTGTTAAGTTAATGTGAAAATGAATGCGAAAACAACAGGAAAGAAATGTACACTCAACAAATATGTCTGAAATGGCTGATAAAAATCAAGTGCCACTCAAAAGAAAGAGAATGAGATCATTAAATAAGAGACATGAATCAGACAGTTATTTACGTATCCCAATCGAACTGCTTGCTAGAATTAGTTCTTGGATATTACTGGTCAATAAGCTGGAAATGTTTCATTCTCAACAATCTAATTTTTAAAAAGAGTTGAAAAAAAAAAAAATGCAATAATTCATGAAATGAAAAACAATTCAATATAAAAATCTATCAATAATCAGAAAAAACTATTAGAAAAACACAATTATGTGATCTAAAAATAAATATATTTAAGCAATTAATAGATATTTTCTAATCTGATATTATTTATTACTACAAACATATTTAGAAAACATGCCTCATCAGGAATTGAATATCTACATTCCCTTTAAATCCGAGAAACAGCATTTAAGCCAAGTATGCTTTACTATTAAGCTACAAGAAACCATTACAGAAAAACAAGACCCAATTACCCTATGTAAGAAAATCACACTCAGCCTTACTTTGTTCTAATGGCTTCTTGTAGCTTAATGGTAAAGCACACTTGGTTTGAACATCGTTTCCAAGATTAAAATGCAAATACAGGTTCAGTTCCTGTAGGGAGGTACACTTTTTTTTTATTAAGACCTTCAATTTTTAGGCCAGTAGGCATTAATTTCACCGTTTAAAAAACAGGGATGTCTACTCAAACACATGTATGCACTAAATATAACAGTTATTGTAATATATTTTATATATTGTTCAAATGCTATTTTTAGTGGATACTCATGTTTAAACAGACATCCCATTTTCTACCCTTCTGCACACTTGAGAAAACTAAAGAAAACATGTTCTCTGGCAGCATATAATTAAGTTTTATCAACTCTAAGGTTTTGAGTATGCAGATCAGTAGACATAATATACAGTATTAAAAAAAAAAAAAAAAAAAAAAAAAGAAGAGATGTCTATTCAAACACTGATATCCACTAAAAAAATAATGTTTGAAGTAATAAAAATGTTGGATTAAAAATAAATCCATTAGATTCATATATATATATATATATATATATATATATATATATATATATATATATATATATATATATACAGTAGTGGCCATAATATAAGGAACGGAAATTTTTTACTGAATAAAGATTTGGGTGTAATGCATAAATATTACAAAAATTTATATAATAGTTTTTTTCTAAATAAAGATTAAATGGAACAAAGGAAATAAGCTACTGGACAAAAGTTAAGGAACGATGTTAATAATTTGCATAAACTTTCAATTTACATTGTTAAAAAACTCTGGAGCTTTTCAACAATTAGTAAAAGTTCATTTATCATTAGGACTTTATGTAAGCAGTGAAATTTTCTCTGGAATTATTCCAGATTCAAGAAGCAAAACAATTTTTTAAGTCATTAACAATATAAACCAATACTTGTGATTCTTTTTTTTTTATTTTTGCTATCAAGAAAAAAAGTCAATTTCAGAAATTTCTGATATTGTTCAGAGGTCTAAAAGTGTCATTCATCGTGTAATTAGCAGGTATAAAACTGATAAAACATTAGATGCAAAACCAAAACCTGGCAGACCTCCAAAAACATCGCAAAGAGAAGATCGAAGAGTTGTTAGAATATTTACAAAAAAAAAACGTTTTGAAACTGCTACATCAATTGCCCATAAATTTAATGAAGAGACAGATAAGATCTCAAGGAAAACAGTTGCTTGCAGGTTAAAAAATGCAGGATTGCATGCCGTATTCCAGCTTTGAAGCCTCTCATTTCAAAGCGAAACCAAAAGGCATGCCTGGAGTATGCGAGAGAACATGTTGTTTGGACTGACGCACAATGGTATACAGTTCATTTCAGTGACGAGTCCAAGTTTACTATACTTGGTTCTAAGGGCAAAACTTACGTACGCTGTAGAACAGGTGAAAGACTGTCTTCTCAAATGTGTCAAGAAAACCATTAAGTTTGGTGGCGGCAGTGTGATGATGTGGGGAATGATTTCATCTGCAGGAGTTGGCCCTATCATCCGCATACATGGCAATATCAATGCTGAGATTTACAAAAGGTTTCTTCAGCAGCATGTGGTACCAAGATTACACCATAATCTTTATTTTCATGCAGGACAATGCACCTTGACACAAGGCTCAGAAGGTTATGGCTTTATTTAAAGAAGAAGGAATCGCCCTAATGAAATGGCCAGCCCAGAGCCCCGACCTGAATCCAATAGAAAATGTTTGGAAGATAATTGGAGAAAGGGCTCAGAAAAGAAACCCGAAAAACCAGGATCACCTATGGGAGTTATTGAAAGACGAATGGGAGGGAATTACTGCTGATTTTTGCAAGAAATTAATTAGATAATGTGGTCGATGATGCAGAGAAGTCATTGAAAATAAGGGGATGTTTACCAAATATTAAATTTTGTTGATATTTTGTTCACAATCAAGTATTAACAAGATCGTTCCTTAACTTTTGTCCAGTAACTTATTTCCTTTGTTCCATTTAATCTTTATTTAAAAAAAACTATTATGTAAATTTTTGTAACTTTGTATAATATTTATGTATTACACCCTAATCTTTATTCGGTAAAAATTTCATTGCTAATCATGCATTACTTTTTAAGTAATACACATATTTATGTCTTTGTTGTTTCCGTTCCTTATATTATGGCCGCTACTGTATGTGTATATATATATATATATATATATATATATATATATAAGCAAACGTCTGAGTTTGCGTGTTATAGATGATAGCATCTTAAATCATATCATTTATGTTTTTAAGAAAAATAAAAAATAAAATTATAATTGAAAAATGTTTAAAAATTAGATATGTTAATAAAATGGGAAAATTTTAAATTTCCTCAAAATAAATACAACTGATTCTTATGATGGAAGAACAATTCATTTTAATTGAACCAAAAATAAAATATGAAATAAAAATAAGCACCTTGGTTTGTTAGCTGAAAAATGATAAAGGTTAAAGACAATTCTAAAAAGATTGTGGAATCTTTATATTCCCGAGTCCCCCACAATTGGAGCATGACTCCTTTTCAAGACATTTTCACTGCCAACAAAAAAGCTTTGGATGCAACTGCTCAAATGGAATGTCTATATTCTAACCCTTTTTTCTTTTAACCTTGGATTAAACAACTGGAATCTTCTCCGCTGTGAATTGCAAAGTGTAGCACATCTAGTAAAGCCATTAGTTTTGTCAATATGGCTGATTCAGTTAATTGGCTCAAGTTCAAGTCTAAACACAGCCAGCTAGACATTGGGCAAAGTCTTGCCACATTTTTCTTGTAAAATCTAAAATGGCCAAATTTTACAAATGTATTATATAGGAGCTAAAATAAGAGAAATGTTTTTATTTTATTTTATTTTTTTTGGCTTATTGAAGCAGAGAGTTTTGTTTTTGTTTTTTGAAGATAATTGAAAAAAAAAAAAAAAGAAAAAAACTAAACTGCAAGTAAAATACAATAGAAGTATAATAAGAAACAGGTAATCTTACTTCGCAACAGAGACAGCAAAATCCTTAGTGGATTACAATAACAGAAAAAAAAGGATATGTAAGCAATTTTGCCTGACATTAAAATCTGATGTCTACCATGTATAGAAAAGTGTGTTTACCTTTTAATTTTAAATGTAGTTGAAAGACTAAATAGGAAAGGAAAAAAAAAAACAAGCAAAGATTTTATCAGCCAATAATAATTAGTAAATCGAACAACATTTGTGTATGTGTGTGTGTGTTCATAGAGAAAACGGAGCAGTTAACATACAAATTAACACTGCAACAGTCAACTTTAAAAAAGAAAAAAAAAAAAAAAAAGAAAAAAAGAAAAAAAAGTAAAAAAAATGAAAAGAAAAAAAAGAAAAAAAATGAAAAAAAAAAAAAAAATCTGGGGAATTTCACATTATGAAAAAGGAAATGTAGTGGAAAAAACAAAATCCATACCTGTCTGGTAGAAACTGACAAAACTTTATAGGTTTTTTAAAAAAAAAAAAAAAATTTTTGTCAATGTAAGCAGTGAAATTTTCTCTGGAATTATTCCAGATTCAACAAGCAAAACAATTTTTTAAGTCATTAACAATATAAACCAATACTTGTGGTTCTTATAAAGAGATTAACTTGTTTCTTTTTTTTTTTTTACTTCTTTTCCTTTTTTAATAATAATAATAATAATAGCATTAGTAATAATAATTTTAAAAAAGAATTTTTAAACAATGTTTCAGTCGTAAAGTTGAGAAATGGTTTCATTTTTTTTTCCCCCCAAAAGATCTACAATATTAAAAATTCCTTCAGCAAAAGAGAATTCGGATTTTTTTTTCAATCTATATATTTTTTAGTTTCTATTAATTCTATAGAACATTTTTTTTTTTTTTTTATTTACTGTTACTGTCTTCTAAAACACGTTGCCTGTTTTGCTTATTTATGAAATGTTTTGTAACTAGAAAAATGGTATCATGAAGATTAAGATTATTAAAATGGTCTGAAACCAAAGAGGAACATTTTTTTTTCAATGTGGCATCATCTTTAAGCGGCTTTCTGCTACATTTGCCATAAGCCACCAGAAATTGTCAGTCTCGAAGCCACAACTGATAGACAATCATACTAATTACATGATTTAAGATCTGTTTTTGATGGATATCTGACTATTGATTCCAGTGGGTCCAGAATAAACACGCCACAACAAACTGGAACCTCTTTTCAATTGTCCCTGAAATTAAAATGAAAAGAATTAAATACGCAATAAACGAATAAAAATAGCTCTACTAATTTTAAATGGTTACACTTATAAGTATTTACCTATAATTCTTCTATTTCAAGCTAACTTGAACACCACTGATGAGTTTTTTTTGTTTTTTTTTCATTCTTTGCATTCCACTATCTTTATCAGTTCTTCACTCCTCTGACCAGTTTTGTTTTTCAGCTGATTCACACATTTTATTTACCTGCCCCCTCTCTCCTGTTTTCCATGTTTAGGCTCCCACTAGAGCACTTACCAGCTTTTCTTTCCTCCTCCAAATGTGCAGATATTTACATATGTTACCCCACCCCCACCCCACTTACTTAATTTCATGAAATTTCAAGAAAATAAAATTTTCTTTCCAAAAATTTTTTTTAATAGTTAAAATTAGGGCTCCTTGGATAATGTATACATCCAATTTTTTTTTTTTTTTTATCAAACTACTCCTCGTTTCCTGGAAATCTGCTCTGAATTGTAAACTAAAAGATGCAATATTTAATTAAAAAGCTTTTTATTACTTTTATAAATAATATATATTAAGGACACTATTGTCATAAGAAAAATTTTTTTTCAATGAATAAGGAATTTTTACAAGAACTGATTTCATTTTGTAAAATTTTAATTATAATAATTTAAAAATCGTTTAAAAATCTGCATTACTTTCTTTCTTTCAGGTGACACTGTAATTAAGTGGAAACTATATTTACAAATCAAAAATTAAAAAGCCTAATAAAGTCGTTTACCCCCAATATTCTAAAAATAATTTTAAATTTTTTTATTTTAAACATTTACATTTTTGTATGTATGGTATTCTATACAGGACATTATTATTATTAAAAGGTCACATATCATAAGAGTTGTCCTCCCCTTACTGAGAAATTCACTTGTCTGCAATTCTTTATTCATTTTGTTTACATCTCAACAGTTTTTGCAAATCATCTATTCAAAGTTTTAAATCTTTAAATAAGTTTTACTTTTAATTTCTATTTCATTAAATATTTTTATTTTATGTATTTATTTTAGTACAAGTCATACTTCAATCATGTAATTTTTTTTTTAACTTTTTTTAAAGAAAAAACCTCGAAGAAATGTTTTTTGTTAGTAGTTTTTTACTTTTTTTCAGTTCATTCTTTTTTATAGTATTTTGAATTTTATTATTTTTTCAGAAAGCATCTTCAAACATAAGGCTATAACACTATCTCTATCTATAAAAGGCAGGATGTGTGTGTGTGTAACGAATGCACGGCCGCAATTTTTGACGGATTTGCACCAAAATTTACATGTACATGCTCCAAGTCAGTGGGAAGGCCAAGACCAACTTTGCATTTCCCAACTCCCATCGATAGTGGAAATAATCGATTTTTTCATGCTTCTACGGCAGTTTTCATGTAGTTTGTGGCCATTTTGTACTGGCCAGAGTGAGAGCTGGCTGACATGAATGTTAACTAGCATGCTAGCATACAAAAAAAATCGATAGCTGCATTCGTCACAAGTGGGAAAAATTTAAATCTGCATGACACTTTACTTCAATTGGCTCATTCGCTTGCTTAAACACAACGTTGATTCTGATTCCGCAGAACTGGGTTGGGTGTGAAAAAGTATTTGTTGTTAGCATTCTTTTTTCATTCGGTTTTTCCAGTTATGAGTCCTTTTTTAAAGCTGATCGTTTTGTGTTCATTTTGTTTAGTTCTTTTTTCGTAACAGATTTAATGTTTAGTATAGAGCTTAGAAAAAATTTGTAGTGTGAGATGGGCAAGAAGTAAGGCATGTAGCAACATCAGCATGACAAAGGGCACTCCTTTAAAGGCAAGGAAGGGCAAAAATATTTTAAGTCAAGTGATAGCGATTGCTGTATGAGTCGTACAATTTTTGAATCAAGCACGGGCAATGCCGGGCCATGCTGCTAGTAGTAACTACAAGTTAATAAAATATTAGATAATTGCTGAAAATATACTAGTCTGTAAAAATTACTAGGTAATTAAAAACCGAAAAAGAAAAAAAATGCGTTCACTTAGGTTTTGTAAATTTATATCAATTCTAGTCATACATACTTAGCGGTCAACACCTTAACCTGTCAATTACCATCAATCAGCACATCAGAAAAACAGGCTCTCTGGTTAAGAAATGCTTGTATATTATGTTTTTTATGCAATAAGTAATATTTGTTTTAAATCAGATTAATTAACTTTAAATTTGCTAATTTTCCTCAAATAACATGTTACAAATACATATTTTATTTTTAGAAGATTTTTAAAATTGATAATTAAATTTTGTTTACAAATGTGTTAAAACGTGAGAAAATGGCAACTTGTGATCAATTTTGTGAAAGCGAGTAAAAAATTGACATTCCAATCTATGTAATTTCTATTTGAAATACACCAGAGTATTTTGCTAACTAGAAAAAGTAAATTTAATCCTTTAGCTTTCAATTAAAGCTAAAATGAAATCTTCAAGAATGCTTATTCATTTTTTAAAATTCATTTTAAACCTTAGGTATCAAAAATTCAGTGGAGGTGCCTAATCGAAAAGAAAAAATATTAATAGAAATAAAAACCTTTGTTTATTCACTTGGTTTAATGTTGTTGAATTTCATTCAATCAAATTAACAACATATTCATGCTATTTATGAAATGAGTACAGTAGGCATTTTATGCTAATGCCAAGGCGGGAAGGCATGAATCCAATTTCCCTTGGTTACGTGTGCAGGGCAGTTGGAGCCTTTTAATTCTATAAGGTAGCTGATCTACGTGAAGGTTACGCTTGCAAAAAAAAAAAAATAAATAAATAAATAAAAGAAAGAAGAAAAAACTTAGATTTTAATACACAATATCTAGTCCCAAAACCAACTGAGAATTGGCACCCTAGCCTTGTACAGAGAATTGGCACCCTAGCCTTGTACAGAGAATTGGTACAGAAACAAACAATAGATCTCACACTGTACAAAATGCCAACAAAAACACTGCCTAATGTGCCTTGAGGAACAAAAACTATTGCTGTTGCTGGCAGTTATAGAGTATGCAAAAAAAAAAAAAAAAAAAAAAAAAAAAAAAAAAAATAGAAACACTAAAAGACAGGAGCTAATAAGAATTGTTCAATCAATCATGGATGCTGTCAAACTGGCCAGTTGAATAAACCATTGTCTTTCTTCTTCTTTGTGCTGTGTACCTTCAGGACATTGATGATCATGTCTCTCCCCAATTTCCTGTCCTTTGTAATAATTAATAAATAATAAATTTTCTCTTCTCGTTATCTCTCCTAAACATTGTTCTGCTATCCATTTACTCAACTTCATTAGGTAGGTTATGCATGGTTTTGCATGGATTTTCCTGCCCTAAACTGCCCTGTGAGTATCAAATTTTCTAAGCCCTCTAACCTTAGAAATTTCCTATACATCTATCACAAGTGCAAAATTAAAACAAGGAAAAGAATACCCACTTACAAAAAGTAATAAAAGACAAAAAACTTTTTCTTTGCTCTTTTTTTTTTTTTTTGGAGAAACTTCAGTTGCAAGAGGCTAACAGGTCTTTGCTATTTAACTTAAATACCATTTGCGGGGGAATTGACAAAAATCATGAGAGAAATTTAAGTTTCTTAGTTCAAAGGCATCTTCTAAGATTTGGATGTTTGAATTGGAATATCTCTTAATATAATTGTAATAGTTGGAGTTGATATTGTATATGATGAGAGATGTAGTTTATCGTCATACCCAGGACGAAATACTAAAGGAATAGTGGCCTTGTTGTGATTATAATATATATAAGAGATACTCACTATAGAATCCAACTTGTTCCAACATTTGATCCAAGATGTATACTCAGGCATATTTGGAGGTAAAGCAGCAACAAGACTGCAAAAGAAATGAAAGAAAAAAAAAATGCATTAAGATGCAATTATCAAATGCAACACAATTACTAAGAAAATTGTTGAAACATAGCAACATGCATGCAAATTTAAGTACAGTATTATCTTCTATGACAATAGTGAGTAACCTACGGGTCAGATCCAGCCCACAAAGGGATTTTGACTGGCCTGTGATAAGTGATGCCCAATGAATCGACTCAACTCATTAGACTTATGAGTCAAGGTGAGTCATGACCAGAGGTTGAAGTTGGACTGGACCCGTCCAGTATCAAAATTTACTTGAAAATTCAGTCCAGGTTCAACTTCCATCTCTGACCAGTAGCTTGATTGATAATGTAGTCAGGCTATTTTGTTCTTCGGTCTGTGCAGGAATAACATATAACCAAAGATAACAGAAGAAGCAATTTTAGGTTCAATTCAAAATTATTTCATCATATGATTGCTTTGCAATGACTATTTCTTTTGTCTTTCCATTCTAAAAATATTGTAAATAAATTTTATAGTAATTTGATAGACTTACATCATTTTTTTTTATTTTAAAATTTGACATGACTTGAACTGAGATGAGTCTTGTGCATCAGTGCTAGTGAGTGAACATAGAAAATTCTGATTTTCCAGCCAGCTGAGGAGCATGAATTTCAGTATGAATATTTTTTTGTTTGACCTTGATTGTTATTTAAATTTATTGTATTATGAGACGAGGCTTTCAAATACAATAAAAGGCCTTCTGTTACATTCTTCCACAAATCTTCTGATTCACACTACCTCATGTCCATCAGCAACCGGACGTGAATATTATGAGAGCAAAAACACAATTAAAAATGAGTCAAATACGTAGGTTTCTGCAGATCATTTCTGCTTGCAAAACATAAAATAATAATATATAAAATTCATAGCCAAGTTATTAGCCATAACCAACTGGTATTATAACAATTGTAATATGAGTGATGAGGCTTTTGAATACAATAAAAGGCCTGTCATTAAAAAAAAATATCATATCATTCCTTATAAACAATGATTAATTTGTTTAAACATTTATAAAATTAACTTTATGTATTTGTATAATTTGGCTCTGTATTCTTACAATTCAGCTCTTTATTGCTGTATAAAAATGTAATAGTTTTATTTTATTCATCTGTAAAAGGTTTCATCTTTTCAGCGATGCATTTTGAGACTTCATAGTTAGCTATTGTATTTGCCACATATTTGCCTTTTCTCTTTTAAAAAAAATGTTTGTTTTTCAAAACTAGATTTCAACTGCTCAACTTTATCTTTCTTTGCTTGTCCAGTAAATTTCCTAAAATTTTCACAATGGTGTCACTGAATATTTGCTAATTTATTCACAGCAATGCTTTCTAAATATTCTCTGTTCTCATTTCTCAATTCATTTTCGTTAATAAAAATCTGCTTCTCTTTTCACTAATAAAATGTTTTTCTAATTTCCCAAGAAAGAGAGTCTTTTTCCCAATTTGCTTTACCTGCATGCTAGATTTTCAATATATAAAAAAAAGTAAACTCTTGGTGCATCTTTCCAATTTGTAGTTTCTGCCCCCTTGCTATAAGTATTAGGATTGTGAAAATCGATCCATCATAACAGGCAGGTGATCTGGTTTATGTTTTTGTTTAGAGGGCGACCTGCCCAAGGATGGAAAACAGCATTTTCTCTTGTTGAAAACGAATTGGGTAAAAATTTTTATCTTTCACTTGGAAGGTTAAAGTGAGGTGATCTGGTTTGTGTTTTCACTGGACAGGTTGGTCCAAGAAAGGGAGTCAGAGAATTTAAATTAATGAAGAGAATAAATCATGCCCTTTCTCTTATGCATTTTAAAAATTAGATTTGTCACAAAGACAGTTACACCAGCCTTGAAAAGTGGGCAGTAGAATACCAAGAAGGAAGGAGGAAAGAGCAGAATTTAGCCCCCCATTCGAAGAAGCAGTGTGAGATGTGAAATGAAGGAAGTTGGAGACAAGGGAGGAGCAATCCCTGTTACTACTCCCAAGGAAGGTGCATAATTCTCCACATCTGGAAAGTTGATTAAGAAAGCAGAAATAGGGAACAAAGAAAACCTTTATTGGAATTAATGAAAATTAGGGAATCACTGAATCCCCAAAACTCTTCTGTCCCACGCTAGTTTTTGGCTGAAGTGTATATAAGTAGTAGACTTTAGAGAGCTCGGAGACTTTGGGCTAACAACCCACATCAAGTGCCCCTGAAATCCACCAGATTTTCTGATTCCAAGAGTTTGAAGCCAGCTCCTCCAGAAGTTTAGACAAGGCCCAGTGTTACTATAGAGATTGATGCTGGAAGGCTTAATTTTTGTTGTACCAAGAGTGCTATATAAACCAACTGAAAATTAACCCTCATGAATCTTTCATTTTATTTTTTTGTCATGAAGATATTTTTCTTTTTTAATGTAGCACTCGCCATGGCTTGAACCAACAAAGATATTCAATCTTCTACTGCTCTGAGATCAAGAACACAATGTGGGCCGAGTTGGTGTGGATCGAAACAGTCAGTGACTAACAACCAGCATGGACCAGCATCACCATTGACCAGTGCAGAGTTATCCCTGTGCTTAAAACTTCATCCTAAAACCCAGTGTAGGTAGTGAAAGTTGTTATCAAAAAATAAACATATCATTCAATGTATGTCTCTTATGGTGAAACACACCTATTCTATAGTTAATAGACTCTCCCACCTAATATAAGTAGGAGTAGTAATAGAAATGATGGTCAGTCGATGTCAGACGACAGTAGTCAACAGATAGTCGAATATGAAAGTAGTCAGCGACCACAACAAAATGACTCTGTGTAATACCGATTATATCAAGTTCCTGACGTTTTGTATGTCGAACCTATTTTAGGACCGATTTAGTACAAATACAAGCCTCCACTGCGAAATAACTCCACAACAATGTCATGTTAGGAAATTCTGATTTTCCTGACATTAAAACAAAATTCTCTGATAATTCTTTGATTTCCCAGGTTAGCTGTGGACCCTTATTTGGGATAGACTGCAAATAATAATAATAATAACAGAAATAGATGGAATTATAACAGCATATGTGAACAAATAATGAAAACTGAAAGGCATGATTGTAAATTGAAAGCTTTGTGACTTCAAAGCACTAAATCATTAATGCTAATTTATAGAAAAAAAAAAACGAATATTCCATGTCACATGAGAGGAACAATAACGACAACTACTACTCCTTGGGTAGGCAGAGAAATAAGAAAAATACAAGCCTTCAATAAATAATGGACGCCATCAAACTGGCCATTTGAATAAACATTTGACTTTACCAAATAAATACATCACCCACAAGTGTGTACTGGAACAAGAAAAAGAATACATACTTACAAAAAGAACTAAAGGAAAACAATTTTTTCGTAGGTTGATTTTGATTGGTTTGATTTGTTTTACAGTACATCAACACCTCAATGGGTCATTTAATGCCAACAACTTTTTTTTTCCCCTGGTAATATATTTTTGTTTTGTCAAAAATCCATTTCTGTTAATATTTTTTTCAAAAATGTATAGATGGTAATATTATTTTTTCAGAAACATATTATCAGAGGCCTTGCTGTTGGACATAGTTTATCATCTTACCCAGGACGCGGATGTAGTTTATCATTATACCCAGGATGCATTGATTTTGAGTTAATAGATTTAAAATGAAGCATTGTAATAAAATGGTGATGCAAATCTTCAGAAGATTATAAAACATATGAAAAAATGATTACTTACCCACTACCACTGACCATCATGATGGTAGAAACTAAGGTAAATGGATAAGCCAATTGGTTGACTACCAACTGAAAAAAAAAAAAAGTTATTTTTTTCCCAACAATTTCCAAAAGACGAATCCAACACTAAATTTCTGATTTGTGAATCAATGCTTACAATTTACTGCAATTGTAACACAACAGTTGGCATTACTATGTTTTTAGCTTTAAAAACCATGCAGAGTTTATATACAATAATTCTATACAGAAATTTACAAATGATTACAAAAACCTTTCAAGTCACCTGGCATCTCGACTTCAGTCATTTTCTCACCACCATAACATAGCTTCCCTGTGCCTTTTCTATAAATACTTTCATGGTAATTGTTCTGATGAACTTTACTTTCTGGGAGCTAGACTTTAAGAATTTAAGAACAGTATAGATTGGCAGCAAGGTCTCATCATTTTACAGTTGAATTGGTTAGATGTAACTTCTTACTTGTAGAACTCTCTTCCGGCTTCTTGCTTTTATCTTCAAAAATTTAAATGCGATGTCAACTGTTATCTTTTGCCTTCTTAGTTCCCGTTCAGTTGTTGTTCTTGTTCCTTAATAATGTTTTTCTTATATTCTTTCACTCCCAACCACATCTTAATGGCTTTATTGCCTTGCTTGGAGTGAAATGATTAAAAAAAAAAAAGAAAAGCTTTTTTAAAAGTATTGCGCATTGCTTATCTATAGTGACTCATCCAAGTTACAATTGTCAAGTAATAAACAAGTGAACTACATTTGTATCCATGAAAATAATAAAAGGGAAATAAAAGATGAAATAAATCTGAATTTCAATCAAAATAGAGTAAAAAAAAACAATAATTTAAAACAATATTACCAGTGAAATGTAGATTCAAATAAATTATATTTATGAGTCTTATAGCAACTTCATTAACATTTAAAATAATAAAATCTGTTGTGAAAATATTCATTTTTTACTTTTATTTTTTTTTTTAATCATATTACCCCATGCAAAGCAGTAAAGCTACTAAGACATAATCGGTTACAGGGTGTGGAAGAATAAGAAAAAAAGAGAAACATTATTAAGAACTGAGAACAATAAAAGAAGAGGAATCAAAAAAACAGTAGATAACGATTAACATTGCATTTAAATTTTTGAAGATCAAAGTTGGCTGGAAAGCATGAAGCTGGAAGAGTGTTCCACAAGCAAGAAGTGCAAGAAAAGAAACTGCTAGCATAGAACTTACAGAAACATCTAGTCATTTTGACTGTAAAATGATGAGACCTTGTCACCAATCTAGTATTTCAATACTAGTTTACGCATTATTATTTACACTATTTACATGCAGACTACTGTACTTATCTTGTTGCTGTTATCTCAACATTTCGAGCATTGTGGCCTCTGGACTTCATCATATTTTCTGCAGGAGTAATCTAGGATTTGTATTGATACAATTAATTCTATTGTCACATTTAAAAAAAAAAAAGCAATATACTAGCAACCTGATCATCCCTACTTACTAATAAGATATTCCATTGTTATGGTAACACAAGCATATTTGTTTATTGGCATCAAGCAATATCTCCTGTTAACAACAGAATTTCTCATTACCAAGGGAAGATAGGATTTATGATAGATAAATAAAGTTAAATTGTGTTTTAGATAAGAAAACAGATTTCCAAAAATGACTTACCCCAACAAAAGCAGCTGTATAGATAGTAGCTTTCTGAAAAAAAAAAATGTAAAGATGGAAAAACAAAAAAAAAGTATTTAAGATTTTCTATAAAAGAAATCAGTTTGACTTAATTCAGTTGAAAACAAAACAGAATGTTGTGATTAGAAAAACAAACATTTGAAGTATACACACCTGCTTTTATATAAAAAATCAAATTTTTAAGTAAAAAAAAAAATTCTCAAATTTTTTTTCAGATTTTATATCATTGATTAATTCTTAACACAGAATATCCTGTTTTTATTATTTCTTCTTTCTATTTTCCACAGCTTCCTATCCTTTTTAGCTCTCAATACCTTGCTTCTTTATGATTTTGTAGTACTTGTTTAATCATCCATTTGCTCAAGCAGACAATTTACTGCTTTCTTTTGTTTCTCTTGTTTTTGAGGTCACCTGTATGCATTAAATTCACTAAACCTTCTTTTCTCATTATGTGTCCTAAAAATTTCAACTATTATCAAGTTTCCTGGTAGATCCTATTCTCCTTAAAACTTCTTTGTTGGTCACATGTTCTTTGTTAGTAGAACCAAATTGTTGGTCATTAAAAGTCACCTTCAATTGTGACAAAATTGTCCCACATTCACTACCATATAGGAAGGGGTTTATTAATACTCGTTTAAATTCATTAACATAAAAAAAAATGGTATGTGCGTTATGGTGTAATGGATGTAGGCTCGGAATGAGAAGGCAGAGAGCCGAGTTCAAATTCCAGTTGGATTCATTACATTCACTTACACGCAAATACCCTTGGGAAAGTTATGAAAGTTTGCAATCCATTTATTCTCCCCCCAACTATGGGTTTAATAGCAGGACAGAGTCCTATAGCCTTGGTCAGGAATCAGTGTAAAAAAATAAAGAACAGAAAATTTTCTGCCTAGTCTGTCATAAATTGAAGGAGACGCGATGACACTTAACCGACTGAATTTAAAATGAAGTGACTGGAGTTTCGGGTTAAAGGGAAATAACTCGTGTAAGTATTGTCAGCAGGTTAATATTATTTTAATATTACTTCTAATGTTCTAATTGTTAATGTTAATGCGAAGGTTTCGTAGATCGACGTTAACGGCCAGAGTGGGGGATTCTCCACTCCAATAGAATCAATAGTCACGTGATTGGGACCAAGGCGAGCCTTCAAGTTGGAGTACATCAGCTGTGATTTGACCTAGAGATCAACCAGATCTGCTTGCCCAACACACACTGTATGAACAAATACTTCTCTAGATTTTTACGAAACACAGCTTAGATATGGCACAAGGGCGAAAAGTGTGGGTCACCTAGTGAGGATTAAACTTACTACTCAGTCATAATTGATCTAGTGAGATAAGCTTGCTAACAATCACACCATGTTCAAGTATCCTTTCCACCCAGATGTATAGAGAGAACTAATCAGCTGCATAGCAGCCCTACAACCACACCCAGTCATAGGACTGATGATGTTGATAATGTCACTTCACAACTGAAGCTCTTTTACCTTTTTTTTTTGCTCTATATCTCCATCAATTTTTAATGTTTCTTGATATTCTGCTAACAAGATTCTGGAGAGAAAACTTACCACTGCAGTGAGTTCCATCCTCCCAATTGTGTCATTGTGTCAAATGAAGCTAAACAGCAACACAGGAAATATCTTTAACTAAGTTTAAGGACAATGCATATATTAAAATAGTTGTAATTTCAAAACCAAAATACCTTGTCTTGTATAACATATTTGTTCAGTATATATGTCAATACTCCTGTTGCAACAAGATTGATAGAATCTCCCAGCAGTCGTGGTACAAGACCTCTGAAAAAAAAAAATAAATAAATAAAAATTACATATTGTTGGTTCCAATTAGACTGGAAATAACTGTAAGACACTTTCCCTTTCCCAATTAATAAGCAGAAGCACACAAATGCATCCTGGGATTTTTTCCTAGTAAATAAAACATGTCAGTTCTTGGTTTCATTTGACTCAGTCCCAGTTTGTCTTGCCTTGAAGTCAGAACATTATGCTCACTTGACCAAGCTTGCTCGTGTGTCGTCCCCAATTCTTAGTTTGTGAACTTTTTGCCATATTACTGTTGCTTTGCCTCATTACTGTTAATTTGCCTTGAATATATTTTTGCTTGCTTTATATTATTTTCCTACCATTCTTTTCTTTTTCTTGTTATTGTCTGTTTGTTGGAGACAGGTCTATTATTTATTTTTACATTTAACCATGGCCACTCCCATATATATATATATATATATATATATATATATATATATATATATATATATATATATATTTACTTGGATTGATGTGAGTTTGTGACCCTAATTTTAAAATTTTGGATTCATATATGGTTGCATATATCTGTGTTTTAAAAGGTAGTGGGAGGAAAAATTGTCGCTGGGACACCACTCATGCATATGCAAACAAACATACATGTACATATGTTAACTCTACCACTGATATTGAACACTTTCCAATAAGTACCGTGCATATATATATATATATATATATATATATATATATATATACACACATAAACATTTTATACACACACATACGAGTGTATAAAAAATACTTTTGCAAAATTTGGTGGGGGTGGGATTCCTCACACCATAACAAGGACAAAAGTCCACATAAATCCTTTGTTATTGAGTTATTAAGTTTAAAGAAAGTTTACAGTAGATGGCACTCTGTTGCCATGTAGACTAGGCTACATTTGTCATACGTGTACATTTGTGGCTAGTCTGTCTTCAACATTTAACATGTGTCATAGTGTTAACTGAGAATATTCAGCTTAACAGTGGCAGGCTATTCATATCGTGAGCAGGCAGATATGATTTTTTACATATGGCTGTGCGAATGGTAACGGACGTGAAGCTTCATGGCCGTATCAGATTGCATTTCCAGACTGAAGTCAGCTGACTCATCCAACCTTTGCTGAGACAGGATCCATGGCACCACAAACTATGTATTGAGGAAGACCAAGATTCGCTTGTATGACTGACTATGAAGAACACACTCTACAGACTGTTGGAGCCAATCTAAGTATCAGTACACGTCAAGAGGCCCTAGCATGTCATAGAACTCGTAGTACTATATGAAGGGTACTTCAAGAGCAGCTCCTATATCTGTATCATTTGCAATATGTGCAGGGTCCTTTGTCTTCTGATCACTCACCACATGAGCATTTTTGCCGTTGCACAAACAGTTGATCAGTTGTTTATTTCTTCAGTCATGTTTACGGATAAGACAACATTTGGAAGAGATGAAATAACAAATTTACACAACAAACATTTGTGTGCAGATTGGAACCCCCATGGCACAATACAGGCTAGATACCAACATTAGTTTACGATTAATGTGCGAGTTGGAATTGTAGGTGACTGTGTGGTAGGTCCATATTTCTTCCAGCATGTCTTAGAGGAGCTGACTACAGGGACTTTATTTCAAACACTTCCAGGCCCGCTAGAGGATGTACCCCCTGCTAATACGATGTTGCATGTGGTTCATGCATGAAGAGGCGCCAGCACATTTTAGTCACATTGTTTCTTATGCACTGGCTGACATCTACCATAAAAGATGGATAGGTAGGGGAGGACCAGTTCCATAAAAGACACATTCCCCCGACCTCAATACTTTGGATTTCTATCTGTGGGACCACCTAAAACAAAATTTTTATGCAGCAGACATTAATAATGCAAAGACACTTCATCAACATGTCATGGGGAAACCATGGATTTATTTTTTTTTTATTAATCTGACAATTTTTTTTGTCTCAAATCTTCAGGCCAGTGGATGAACATAAATAAATATACTGCTTAATAAACGGATCACCTACTCAAATACAAGTATCCACTAAAATAACATTTAAAATGATATTAATCTCATTAAAATGAAAGGGTTAATGTAACATCAATAAAATCAACAGGAAAAACATTCTCTAGCTTTAATTAATAATATTAAGTAACAAATAGTTTTATATTTGTCTTCATCAATATCTTCAGTCTTTACTCATGTACATTAAAATGCAAATGAATATCTTGAACCAGTACATACTATAATACACAAAAGATAATATAATAATCATTTCCTTATTTTTATAATACACACCCAAAAAATCCAGAAGGTCCATCATGTTTCAAAATCATACGGATTGAGGATAATATACCACTGCAAAAAAAAAGAAAAAAATAAGAAGAGTTATAAAAAGTGTCATTGTGCTTCAAACAATTCCCAAAGAATATTGAAGTTATAAAATCCAGAAGTATTTAAATAATAAGAGCATTTAATGAATAGAATTTTTTATAGTTTTTATTAAGATTAAAGTAGAAAGAAATACTTTTAAAAAATGTTTAATAATCAAAGGGTAATTATTCATTTTAGCCTCGTCTTTCTTTCATTTTATTTCTATTGCTTGCTTATACCTAGTAGTAATACAACATAAGTCTTAAGGTTTCTGAATTTTCTTAACATTGTCATCATTAATTTTTGATTTGTCTTTCTCTTGCTTGCTTACAAATTGTAGTAATAAGACATAATAATCTTAAGTTGTCCAAATTTCTCAGATGGCCGTCATTAATTTTTGACTAGTCTTTCATCTTTTTTATCTTGTTTATACCTAGTAGTAAATAAGATGTTATAGTCTTAATTTGTTTGAATTTCTTAGATGAAGCATTATAGTTATTATTCTTAATCTTTTTTTCATCTTATTTCTGATTACTGAATTTGCCAGTGTCAAGGATGCAGTTTTTTTCCTGAAATAAGTCTTGAAAATTTGTATAAAATATAGGAATTCAGCTTACCATCTGGCATAGATAACCTTCATCTGGGGTTAGCATAGGCCTATGAAAACCTTTGTACAACAAATTTTTTTAGACTATTTTCGGAAAAAAAAAACTGCATCCTTGATGGTGGCAAATATGGTAATTATTTTTTTATCAAACAGCTCAGGTCATTTTTAAAACCAACAAGCAAGCAGCATGGATCAGAATTTATTTATTAATTGGAATCACACCAAACAAGGTAGTAATGCCACACTAAAGCACAAGGGGTTACAGGGTGTGGAAGAATTAGAAACAGAAACATTAATGATGAGCAAAAAGAGAAGAGAGCAATCAGGAGGACAGTAGAGAGCAATTGACTTTGCATTTAAATTTTTGCAGATTAAAGTTGGCTGGAAAGCATGGAGCTGAAAGGGAGTTTCACAAGTGAGAAGTGCAAGAGAAGAAACTGTTAGCATAGAACTTAAAGCTACATCTAGCCAGCTCAACTGTACCCACATTACTTGTCCTTGAGAACCTGCCCAAGTTTTACTGATTAGGTGGTTACGAAAGCTAACCAAAAGACATTGGAAACAGATTATTTTCAATCAATGATGGCTTAATTTTTTTGAAGCATAATATGTTAAATTTCATTCTACTTTCAAAGTGTTGGTATCTGTATGATAGGTCATTTTTAATACCACCCTTCTGTATTCATATATCTAGAATATTCTAATTATATTCTGCCCCCAACTACCATTTTGTTTAGTACCCAGGCTGATCAACAGATGACAGAATGCCTCAAAATGGAAGAAAAAAAATTTACCTAAAAGAGTTAATGATTACAGAATGTATAAAAATCAGTTGAGGCTTGTGATAAAAAGACAACAAAAATTAATGATGTAAATCACTTTATAAACATTTTTCTTGGCTGGGATTTGAATTTTTCACACCAATTCCATTATGTTATATGTACATCCTCCCTTAGAGTACGAAAGGTTAATTTTGTAAAAAAACCTTTTAAAATCTATAATTTAAGTTCCTACTTGTAATTATTTTTAATCTACTGGATTGGATTAATATCATCCTGGTAAAGCTTGTGTGATACAAGTGTGCCAAGTTTAAGATTACCATTGGGTTACATTAAATAGAGATGTGTATGCATGTAAGAAAATTAACATCAAAATAACATTCGATAATAATTTTTTTTTAACATGAATAAAACCTGACATTAAATTAGACTTTCTTTCCCATAAATGGTTTTTCCTGTATTCCAAATATTCTTTCACCAGATATCACAATCTGCAATGAGTCTGTACCATAGCATGGTCAGCCCAACCCTCACCGGGTTACACCCTTGTCTTCTATGGCTTTGTTGCTAGATTTGTAAATTTACTAAGTAACCATATCACAATCAGCATTCATAAATAAAAAATTGTTCTTACTTATATTCTTTTTCTCCACCAACAAATTGAGCCATATTTCTTGCCATTATTACTGCAAAGAAAAAGATAAAAATAAAGAAAAACAAAATAAAATGCAGTCCAATGCCAATTTAGTAAAAAAAAACCCTTTTAGATGCATTTATTTAAAAAAAAAAAAAAATCAAGACAAAGTTATTTTTGTCAAATATTTTACAACTTGCAATTTTTACTTAAAACATAGAAGATATTCTTTTTTAAATACTTTTGTAAAACTAAGCTGAGCCTAAATGAATAGAAAATTAATTACACCAAATTTGATGAGAGTTTACAATCAGAGTTATTTAAAAAAAAATTATATTTCTTATAAAATTCATTCTTGCAAAGAAAATTTTCAAAATTTAAATCTTGATAGTACAAATTCTTTTACTTTTATATATATATATATATATATATATATATATATATATATATATATTTCAAATTAATTTCTTCTTAGATTGTTTTAACATTTAGATATTTATCAAACCTTAACCTCCCAAATATGCACGTTAAAGTAACAGGAATTAACAGCGTCTAAGAATTTGAATGAAACCTATCGTGTAATTGATTGGGGTTGTTGTAACTTCTTCCTTTAATGTTGTTCTTATCATTCACCCCTTAGCCATCTATATCTAGAGACGAGACACGTTAAATTTGAGCAACATCTAGCCGACACACTGGGGTTAAAAATAGGAAATTGAAATGATACATATGGCACACTCATATTCTCTCTCTCCCACTTTACTTCCTCACTCCGTTAATTTTACGTATACTTGATGAGGTCCGTCAAAAACGTGTGAATTTCTTTTCATTTTTCATTTCAGCTTTTGGAAGTAAAGTCTGATGATCCAGAACCCTGTTAAAGGGGTTATGGTGAAATAGCTTATTACATGGAATCTTAACATGGTCTGTCTTTTATTCAAACACATCTGCTCTGAATTTTACATTGAGCTCTCTGGATATCATCCTCCTCAGGTCTACTCATACGGATTACCTAAGTTGGCATAAACTAACTATATATATATATATATATATATATATGACGCAAACATAGGTTATGTGAAAACTATTTTATTCTGTATAAGTAGGTATACAGTTGGTATTCTCATGAACTTTATGACTGATAAAAAATCCATTTAAATTGCAGATTAAAAAAATGAAAATTTCATACACTTTATAACATTTGAAAGAATGATAATATAATAATTCTGCTGGTTCCTATTTTAGTGAGAAATAAGAAAAAAAGGGAAGGTAGAGGTGGTGATAATGCTCTCATGTATTTGACATCTGCTTCAGTGACATGTAAAACACTGTCAATTTTGAATTTTTTTCATTTGTATCCCCTTCCTTCTTTATACGATGACCTGCATTCATACTTTTGATTGTTATTGCAATATCTTGTTCCAATTATTAAGCTCAAATGATGCAATAGATATATTTTTACAGGTATTTTATCGACGTGGAACTTTCAAGAGTTTATTTAATCATTAAATTAAGAATTATAATTCATCACAAAATCAAATAGGAAAAATTTGTATGTGCACTGCTATTAAAAATTAATTATTTATTGGAATTTAATAAATTTTCTGATTATGTTGATAGTTGAATATATTTATTACAAAATTACCTGGTAAAAAAAAAGTAATAAATTAAACCTCATTAAAATGCCACTTGATCATGAATCAATTTTATGTAATTTAAAATATAACTAGCAAACATACCCAGCATTGTACAGGTCAAGGACCTTTCTTTTCTTCTGCTAGAGTTCTTTCTTTCTTCATGTACACAGTAAAATGGTATGGAGCGAAATAGTATTTAACGCCATTCAATAAATTTATACAACTCGAGTCATTTATTTTATATATCATATGTTATAATATTATTATAATCTGTAACATGTTGGATTTTCAAAATATACTATTAAAAATATCAATATAGCTTACTTCCTTTTATATATTGCTTAATTTCAAACTGTGATCAAAATGCTAATATAGTTACAATTTTCAAGACCAGAGATGAGCTTCATGTGAATAAGCAAGCAATTTACTTATAAAAGGTGTCAAGAAAACAATTTATTCATAAAGATCAAAAAAGGCCAGTTTGGAAATTTTTTAAAATATCTTTTTTAATTTGATTTTAATTAAAGCTGAATATTCAAATTATCTCCATTAAGCAAGAAATGCTAAGTTGGCAAGATACAGAATATATACTAGGAAAAATAAGTGATAGATAAATTGTAGATATAAAGGATAATAGCACATTTATGTGATTACATAATTTTACATAATATTTACATACACAGACTTTGAGTTTTATATATTAGACCAGTTAGAGAATTATAATTATTATACTTTTGTGAAATAAATATTGTCAAAATATGTCCCACAATCAGAAAATTCAAAACCAAATTAATAAAGTAAAATATTGCTTTGTTTAGCAAGTTTTTAACTTTTTTCATTTATATTTATAAATTATGAACAAATAAAATTATATTAATACTAAAAGTTTTGTTAATAAAATTTTTTTAATTAAATATTCAAAAATTCTTGCTTTAGTCTTTCTGCTTATGATAATGCCTAAAATGCTGTTACTAAATAATAATCAAGAAATAAAGGAATTTGTTAATCATTATCCATTGTAATTTTAATAAATATTTGGCAAACATGGACATTTGTGCCCACAAAAAAAAAATAAAAAAATGAACTGTCAAAAGGATGTTTTTTTTTCATGGCACCACTTTAAGTACCTTCGCTCTTTGGCAATGTTTATTGTTTTAAAAAGTGAGGATTAGAATTATAATAAAGTCTAAACATATGATGAAAGCGAATTTATACATTTTTTTTTTGTGAGAATTTACAACAAAAATATTAAACACTATGTATTTATTAGATTGTCCATGTTTGCCAAATATTTTTTGTAATGTGACAATGAATTTAATAAGAATAGAGGGTCCATTACACAATAACCAGATAATCTAATCTTGACCACTTGTAGCTTGTAAGCATGACTGATATCTCTTGACTGGTTCAAGGTGTTTTGCTTAATTATCCAGTGACACATATTTGCAATTTCTTGTCTGTTTGGACGAAATGGAAATATGTCATCATCATTCAAATATGCAGGTCATCATCTAAAATAGTCCATAAGAATATCTTCAAGCAGAAAATCTGTCTCTTAGATAGCATTTAAGGTTTTTCACAGAATGGACAAAGGATTCTAACAAATGAAAGTAAAATTTATTTACCATGAAATGGATGAGTGGCAATGACAGCCACCGACCTGGCAGCCAACTGTTTAGATATCTAGAAGGTGAATAAAGAGTAAAATATATTTTTTAAAAATGTAAATAAAAAAAAAAGAAATAATAATAATCAAAAGGGATACTACTTAAAAATTTTTAAAAAGTTACACATGGGCCAAATGACTTATCAGTACCTTTTTTGAGCCAGTGTGCAAAGAGCAGATTATTTTGAAGAAAATGGTGGAAACTGTTAAAGCAAGGAATTCATTTTTTTTTCTTCATAACTAAGTTCTATAAACTTTTGTGTACCACCTTATAAAAGTAATAAAAGATATAAATTCATATAAATTCTGATGCTCCAGTTTATTTCAATGTCTTCAGTTTTTTTTTTTTTTTTTTTACAATGATGTTCACCCTGTACAAGAACAAAGAACCACTCAAGGTAGAGGGTTAGATAGTAAGAGGCACAGCTTAAGTGGATATGTGGGAAGATAATGGTTAACCCTATACTTTAAGATTGTAATGATTAGGGAAGCAACCTCTTGGGAGTCAGTTCCACAAGTTCATGAGAAGAAGCTGTTCAAGTGGAACTTAACATCTCACCAAAGAAATATAAAGGGAATGAGGGTGGTTTGCTACAATGTGTGTGGCATGGAAGGTCTTGAAGGTCATGAAGGTCAAGAATGATGGAACTAAGGAATATAGTACATCTGAATACTCTCCATGAAAATAGCAGTGAGAAGCTTGCAATCTGTGAGAAAGGGGTTGTAGGGTGGAAAATAACTTGTCACCTACAAGGGTGCGAAGACACATTTGGACTCTATCAAGACTGGGCAGCTCCTATCATCAGGGCTCCATTTTCGTCCTGATCTGGCTCTTGTAAATGTAAAGAATAGCAGTACGGCCTGGGTATTTATTCAAGCGGGAGAGAGAACTGGCTATTTTTCCAGCATCTTTAGCCATTAGAAATGTTTTCACAATTTTGTAGTCACTGATACCATATCATCTCTGTTTCGTATTCTATCTTTAAAACTCTTTCGATATTTTCACTTTACAAAACATATGAATCCCAATATAAAGTGTCTTTAAATTGAAAACATTCAAACAGAATATTAACAATATTTGGTTATAAATTACTCGTTTTGTCTGTCAATACTAACAACACTTTACATGACAACATATGATCAGAAATGGGAATTTTTAAGTGAAATTAGAAGATTTGGCATTACAATGAAAAACAAATTGTGTAATATCTCCATTGTTGCTATTTAAGATAGATTTGCCAAAATGCTATTTTTCTTAATTATTCTATTACTGTTATGAATAGAACTGGGGGAGCAACTAACTAAAATGTCAAAATTCATTTGTTTTTTTTTCAGATAAAGTTAAAAACATATCAATTGAATCCAGAATTCTAAATAATCATGTTATTTTTCTTCCATGTACTAACCAGTTTAGAGAGAGTTTTCATAGCAGCAATAATATTCATGTCATCATCCTGATACTCTGTCTCGGAGCCATTATCTTCATCCGAATCTTCACTCAGTTTTTCACGGTCATCGTCTACTTTCAAGTACTAAAAAGACATAAATAGAAAATAAAATATTGATAAATAACACCAGAGTTGCACAGAAGATACTATTCAAAAGAGGTGACAAGCAAGAAAACTTCATAGATGCCTTTGTGAAACTGAAACATTATTTTTTTACTTTTTTTTTTCTTTTTTTTCTTCTTAGTTTACATTCTCAAATTTGTGTTTACATTAGTGATATTGAAAGATATGGTATACAAATCTAGAGGGACAAATTTCCCATTTCAAATTTTCCTTAATGTCGTTTCATGTTTTAGGGAATTCCGTTTTTGCTTCATTATAATACTTAGTGAGAAAGTGTAACAATATACAAATGTTAAACAAGAAAATAAAATTTTTGGCTTTCTGAAATGACAAACTGCATCCCAACCCCCCCGTCATAGTGCGTGATAGGAAAAAGAAAGGATAAAACAAAAAAACTTTTGTCTTGGACCCACCAACTTTTTATTTATTAAATCAAGCAAACTTTGTAAAACTTGGTTCCTAAATACTGCAAACTGTAAGGAGACAGTATGTATTAAAACATTACCAACTTTACCCTTTGATGTCTGTTGGATGAGTAATTTAGGAAAGGCAAACATAATAACAAATAAAAATAACAGTTGGCAAATCTAATTGTTAGAATTTCCATTTTAAAATTGCAATTTCTGTTTTCATAGAAAATAAGCCATTTTAGAATAAGTGGGTAATTGAATGGAAGAATAGAAATATCTTTATCTAATGCATTTCATCTCTAGAAGAAATTTCCTCAAATTAACAATGGTTTTATCAATAGGTAAACAATATATATATATATATATATATATGGGATTAATACAAATAAAATTTGTAACTTAGCTGATTGATGTCATATTCAGCACCTTGACACCAAAGTTTCGTAGACAAACATTTTTGTAATCATTCAGTCCACTCATCAGGAGGCTTCAGCAAATTTTATTTGTTATCTTTATACTAAGTTTGATGTAATCAGTACATATATTTAAAAATTATAGTGTTAAATTTTGGTAATATAAAGTAAATTGATCACAAATTGAAGGTGTAGCATACCAAAATTTGAGCAATGTCGCATGTTTAACAGAGAATGAATTTGATTTTGGTATTTAGCATGTCACATTCAAAAATTAGAAAAGTAAAAATTATATATATAGTTTTGAACAATAAAAAATATTGAGAATTAAAAAATTAAAATTTTCAGACACACTGGGTTGTATATTTATATTTTTTTGTTTTATTATTTCAATTAGATTCCTTGACTATTTTCGGCCAGCATGGCCATCAGGAGAAAAAAAATTTCTGCATGTTAGTAGCAGCAAACTACAGGAATGAATGACTTTCTGAAGAAAATTAAATTCATCAGTAGTTTTCATTTATTTTTTTATCGTTAATTTTGTTCAGTCCTTGTGTTGATCAAATGGCCTCTTTTAAGCTGTTTTTTAGATAAAGGCTGGATAGATTCATGCTACTTTGAATTCCTTTGGTCATTTTGACAGATTTATTGGTTCCTAGGAAGGGAATGTGTTTGTGTTAAGTTTATGTTATCATTTAGTTCTTCAGGAGTGTGTATGATGTGTGTAAGTGTATATATTAGTATAGGTGTTTGTGTAAATGTGAAACCTCAACACCTCCGGAAGTATGTCTGTCTAGTGTAGGTGAGAAATGTGAGTAGGGCTTGATTTATGGGGTCATATATTAATTCTATCTATGTTGTTAAATTTGTGATTTGTAATTATATATGATTAAAATAAAATAAATATAGTAAGCAGTACATTTATATTAGAATAAATATTTATTATTAATATTTAGAGTTTTTGTGATATGCAATAAATATAAAAAAATTTAATATAAAAACACATTTAATATTTGCCAAAAACCAAAAATATAAAAAGTAAATTGAGTCTATAATTTAAAAATAAACAAATAAATAATCGATAACTTTGAATTATTATAAATTAAATGAGACTTAGAATTTTGCAGTAATGACAAAATTATATATAAAAAAAATTAATTGGTTCTAAACTTAAACCTTGTAACATTTCTAACAAAACTCTGGCTGCTAAGAATTTGAAATTTAGAATTAGCTTCCATTCATTCATAAAAAGTATAAATATGAAATCTAATAAGTTCAATAGTTTTATCTAATATTGGGCCCTGATGAGCATTTCAACACAAAATTCTTGACTAAGCTAACCAGATAAGTTTAATTTTTCTTAATTTATGTAATAAGGAGGGGATAAATACAACAAAGATAAGTTTAGATTGAAAACACTTAAAGTTAGAGTAAAAACAAAAGGAGAAAGAAGTCCGAATGAGATTGACTATGTTATGCATTGAGATACACAAAAAGTCAAAAATTTTGAGTTTAAAGCTAAGAATCCCCGTATGTTTAGTATTTTCAAAGTAAAATTATAACTAGTGTTTGTTGTATTTCTACATATACATAACATTGATTCCATTACTAAAACTTATTAAACTGGAGAAGTTCCTTTTAGGAAGAAAATGAATTATGTAAGAGTTCTTTTTTTCCTTTTTGTCATTCAGTTAGTTACCTATTAGTAATATTCCATTAACAATATATATTAATAAAACTAGACAATTTCTTTTCAGTTTTGTTATGACATAGGATTTTAACAACATTAATAGAAATTTAAAAATTACAACTTTTGCTGCTTGGATGATTATGTTAGCAAAAGGGTAATAATTAGAAAGCTAAGTTTAGTCTGGTAAAAAATCCACAAGAGTATTTATTGTGAATCAACTCACTAAACCAGGGGTCTGAAACATGCAAGCCACAAGCTGCAATGTGGTAGACTATCTTTCTGCAGCCGGTGGGAAGCCATTTTTATAACTAATATTTTTCTAAAATTTTAATAAGTTTAATAAATTTGTCCCTCACCCCTTCAATACTTTTGCAGTAGCAGTATTAAGTTTGACACACCTGACAATTGCAGAGACAGTAAATCAATTTTAAGGTTACCAGGATTTGTTCTAGTTCCTCACCAGAGAAGGGAAGAAAATTCAACCTCCCTAACACAACGTTTTTTTATCAGCTACCAGACAAGGTTACAAATATAATTTCCAACAGTGTCTCAGTATCTTTTTTAATTTTATAAGAACAAATAAATTTGACAACTGATATTGTGGAAAGCTGACACTCCACAATTCCCCTAACCATTGACCAATTAAAAAAAAACAAAACTGCTCCAGAAAATGGCCCATGGAAAATACTAGAAATTATATACTTTCCTTTAAGAGTTAATTTGAAGAAAAAAAAAAATTGTGATCAATACATATTTAAAAACAATCATTAAAATGTAATAAAGAGAAAGCTATGGATCCTGTGAAATTCAAATTCAGAAGAAAGAATTTGAAAATTCAAACTAAGAGATTTTCTAGAGAAAAAGCTTAACATAAGTAAAAACAAAAGAAAAAATTTCTGCTACAAAACATTCAAAACAAAACATGCAATAATACACATGCTTACTATCAAAAGTTGAGAAAAAAGTGCTTGGTCAATGTTGATGGGTGACCATTTACAGTTACTATGTGCTTTAAGTAAAACAGGGTTGTGTATGAATTTCTTAGCACATGTTATGTCAATAGATTTCACACAAAACTACTAATAAAATACTAAAATACTCCTCTGGAACTACATAAAATTGTTACATGTAAATAACTAATTTGAAAACAAAAACCACAGTATGTATGCATACGTGTTTGAATTCCTTACAGTAAGCATTTTGTTCTGAATGATACTGCCAGTGGCACCTGCCAGCACTTTTGAGAATAATCCTCTGTAAAGGCCAAGGAAGCCATCTACCCGATAGATGTATGCAACTGAAAAGGAAAACAATGGAAAATAGTATAAATACAAACTCCTGAAAAAAATACATTGGAAAAAAAAAATTTTAGAAACAGTTTTCTTGTAAATTAAAATAAGAATTCATGCATACTAAATTTTAATTTCAATTTCCTTTAGATAATTGCTAAAAATAACTTTTAAAAAATTGACTTAATCTAGTCATTTAACTGAAAAATATACTTGAACAGATTTCATCACTTAATCAGTATTGAAAAAAATAATGGATTGTCAGTGATCAGATATAGAATTACAGAAAGATAGAGCAATACAGAAAGAATATTTTATAATTATTAATGTTATTGTGGTATATAAGAAAGACAAAGTACCAAATACTGAGAGATGAAAAGGGAACATAACACACTCATTATGTCAATGAAAAGAAAAAGCCTAGTGGCCCATTCTGACCAATTAAGACCCAAAATTGAAGACGACGTGATGGAAGAAGACTTTGACAGAGAGAAAAGGAGGAGTTCTTTAGATCAGGAAAATGCAACAGAAGATGAACCTATGGATGATAGTGGGAGTGACTCAGACATGGAAACAGATGAAATAAGTCCAAGATCTCCATTAAAAAGAACAAGGTATAAACCTCAAGGGGGAGAGGAGGAAGAGGTTGTAGAAGTTCAAGAACAACTGTAGGCATTAAACTGCTTCAGTTCAAGTGAGTATTGTGGATTGGTTAATAGGATTGTACCTATTTGCATATGTTAAGTAGAAGAGATATAAAGTGTATAGTAAACTAAGAGACATGCAAGGAGTTGACGACTGATCACATGTCATAGAACAACACAATACAACAGTTATTATATGAGGTTCTATTGCTGGTTTTACAAAGCTTGTATTTCTATCTGCTTGACTGGAGCATTGAAAAAAACATAAAAGAAGAAAAAGTTATCTGCTTGCCCAATGACTAAAAAACAATTCATCTAATGAATGTTTCTTGTTCTATAACTGTATCTTTGTGACTGAAGGCTACTTCACCATTAACTAGAATTGTTAGGATTTTATAATCACTGTGGGTTTAACTAGCCTTTCGTCATCTTAATAACTTCATTCTTCTATCAATGTTGAAATTATCTTCTCCCATGGTAAATTGACCTATTGTAGATTGCTTCTCCGTCTGTGTTTCAATCCTTCTGCTTGTTCTTCAAAGAGCAGACCACCCAACATTAACAACTAGTCGAAGGGGCACAACTCCTCTTAAGCTTTTAGTTTTTCAGCCTTCTTTGTATGTATATCAATGTTTTTGTTGTTGTTTTTTTATTTTAGATCTAAATAGCATAAATTCCTTGCAGATAGCAGTAATCAAACTTAAAAAAGTTATTTTATTAATTTGCAGGCCAGTTTATATGCAAAATACTGGTAATGTCTCTGCAACATTGCCAGAGTGGGCTATAACCGAGGACCCAATGCTACTAAATTCTGAAATGACTTTCTTCTCATAAGTAGTCTATATTAGGCCAGCATATTTTTAAAAATAGATCTCCACTCTACCCTAACCAAAAGTAGCAAAATTCAGAATTTAGTTTTTTAATTAAATTTCCAGGGGGCGGGGAGATAGTTCAGGTCAAAGTTTTTTTTTGTTTTTTTATTACCATTATTATTATCATTATTAATTATTCAGATGTACAAAAATACTACACAAAGATTTAAGCAGTCTCCTGTCAGACACACAACAATGTTCTTTTTACACATTGAAGTTATATACTGTATCTATTAATATTTTCACTTTATTTCAAACAATACATTTACTAAAGTACAATCAAAGAAAAAAGAAAAACAGTTCGAGGCATATTATAAACATATCTTACATTGATATAATTCTAGCAAAAAAAGTACAAAAGAAATAAAGGACTTATTCTAAAATATCCCAATTCTATTATTATTTTAACAACTTAGATATCAGATTTTATTGAATTTCAGTTTACGAAATGTTAATATCGTAGTAAGGATGGGAGAGAAGGAATTTTTCATATACTGCACAACATTCTATTTTATAAAAAAAAAAAAATTTTGTATATTGTAAACATTCTATAGCAAAAAACCTTGTTTATTGCACATTCTGTAAAAAAAAAAAAAAAAAAAAAAACCTTGTATAGTGCACAACAATCTATAACAAAAAAAACGTTATATATCGCACAATATTCTATGATAACAAAAAATTAATATATTGCATAACATTCTATGAAAACAAAAAATTCATATATTGCACAACATTCTATAACAAAAAGACTCTAAATAGTGAGTTAAATATAAGAAATAAATTTACACTCCTGAAATTTTATCACAAATGGGACAGATAATCAATCATATGATAGAGTGATATAACTGGTTTTAAATGCAAAATCCTTTTTAACAGATTTTACAGACAGTTGTATATCATCCATATAAAACATGTATTAAATGAATGAGTTACTGGTGAAATTCAAGTCTTTTGTGTCATTGTTATTTTTTTAAACTTTAACAGGTCATTGAACAGGTTTGAAGATATAAACTTGTCCTCTAGTTTTCTAGACAGAGAAAGCATTTTACAACTTAAATGTGTTTCTTGTTATAAGGCTTTTATTAACAGGATATTATACAGATAACTTGCTTAGACCAAGTTGATATAAAAGAGAAATATTTAATACAATGATATTTTTTCTAGCACAATAACAAATGAGAATGAATGGTCATAAAATAATAACCTTTAAGAAAAACTAATAAATTCTCTAAGTTGGTACACTAATTATCAGCTTGTAAAATGTAATAAACAAATTTGATTCCAATTGTGAGACCTTCTAACATTTGTACTAATACTCTACACTAAAGCATACATCCAAATTCTACAGTCATCCTGACAATGATCTTGTCATTGCACATGCAACAATGGTAGAGGAAATAAAATGGATATTTCTTGAATAAGCAGTTATCATTATTAACACTTGAACTATTGGCCTCATCTTTGTTTTTTATTATTACAATGTTTTAGACATTGTACTCACTGACCTTTATCAGATGCTTGTTGAGCCAGGTAACTTTCAGGTAATTTTGAACTGAATCCTTTGTAGATTGTTCTCATTCCACAGACCATGGATATTTTGTCTAGTTCTTATTCAGTAATGCTCAGTTATTGCTCATCTCATTTCAACCAGGTTCAAGCCTTTACTGTCCGGCCCAGGGCTTGAACTTGCAATTACTAACCAAATTCATAAACAAATGCTTTAATCCACTAGGCTATTGTCCCAGAGTGTACAATTTTTATTTATTTCTTAATTTTTTTTTTTTAAATCAGTATCACCCCAAGCAAGGTAGTACAGCCACTAACATGCAAGAGGTTACAGAGAGTGGACGAATTAGGAACAGAAAGATTAGTAATGAGTAGAAAGAGATAAGAGCAGCCAGGAGGACAGTAGATAGCAATTGACATGACATTTAAATTTCTGCAGATTAATGTTGGCTGGAAAGAATGGAGCCAGAAGGGGGTTCCACAAACAAGAAGTGCAAGAAAAGAAAGTGTCACTTTAGAAGTTACAGTTACATCTAGCTAGCGCAACTTTAAATTGCAGTCAGCCTAGTATTGCACTTAAATTCATAGTCTAGGTACCATAGCGTAGAGCTCATCCGAACAATTACCATGAAAGTATTTATAAAAAAAGGCACAGAAAGACAACCTTTGGTGGTGGGTAAGTGACTGAAACTGAGCTGCCAGATCAGGACCAGTAATATTGATTATTCTTTGAATTTTATCAAGGAGCTCCAAGAAAATAGCAGGGGCACCAAACCATATATGACAACAATATTCTAAGTAGAGTTATAGATATGCAGGATAGTTTTTCTCTCCAGAATCTATCTCACCCAGCACAGTGAACCTACTTTCTTAGCAGCTGATCTAGTGATGGATTCAATATAGTCTTTCCACTTCATGTCAGCTGAGAATGTTAGCCCAAGAAGATGCAACGAGTCACTTTCCTGGACATAGGCAGAGAGTGGTCTCTCAAATGGAGAGAAGTTTAGTTTTGGAAGCGTTAACATTGACAAAGCATCTTTTGCCCCAGTTAATGACAGTTTTGAGTTTGTTTTGGACATCAGCTGCCATTTTGACTTTGTCGGACTGATCAGCCTTACTATCGAGGCAAGAGTAAATGTTAGTGTTGTCAGCGTAGATGTTAAGTTGAGAGCTGATGTCATCAGGGAAGATCATTAATGAAGATTAAAAACAACATAGGACCAAAGATGGAACCCTGGTGGGACATTCACTTTAATACGAAAGGATGTAGATGAGTGGCCATTCAGGACAGCTTTTATTTCACAATTAGATAGGAATGACTGGATCAGCTCAAAAATGTGTCCAGAGATTCCATAACTTTTCAGCTTGAAGAGAAGACCTGAATGATAGACCCTGTCAACTATCTTTAAGATATCCAATGCTACAACCAGGGCTTCACCATTTTTATCTAGAACATGACAGACTCTTTCTACAATTATCATTAGTACATCAGCAGTTGAACTGGAAAAATGAAAGTCATATTGTTTGTCTGAGAAAATGCCCTGCGATGAGAGATGATGAACCAATTCAGCATTGATTAGGGCCTCTAAGAGTTTCCAAAAATGAGGTAGAAGGCTAATAGGCCAATAATTGGAAGGGTCGGACGTTTCACCAGAGTTCTTAAAAACTGGAACAACAGACGATGACTTCCAGCAGGCAGGTAAGCAGGAGACGAAGGGGCATTTATTATACAGTTTAGAGAGAACAGGAACCATTTCAGGGGAACACTTCTTAATGACTATTACAGGGATACCATCAAGTCCACATGCTTTGTGGGGATCCAGGCTAGAAATGATAACAAACCATGAAAGGGGTTATATGCATATCGCTGAACAGAGAATCTTCTAAATGAGAAGTTAGGTAGGGATACTCCAGATGAGTCAAGAGTAGAGTTTGAGGAGAATTTACAGGCAAAGCATTCAGCTTTATCAGAAAATGATAACACCTCAAATCGATTGAAGGGGTGGGGGTAGAAACTTTTTAGTACCCTATTACAGAGATGCCAGTAATCACAAGAGCCAAAGTTTTTAGAGGCTATGTGGTACCTCGTATTCTTAACAAACAGGAACTTGGCTCCTTTGTGGACTCACTCACATTTGTTATGAGCAGTAGCAAATAGGCCTCTGTTATGACAAGAGCTGTCACACTGGTATAGCTGAAAATAGCGGTTTCTGTGTGTTATGGCAGTGAAGCATGATGGTATAAGCCATAGAGAGGACTGCAGTTTCACCTGGTATTTCCAAGAAGGGATGAAAGTGTCCATGCCACCTTTGATCCAAGAAGAAACCTCAGTGGCGCAATTTTCAATTGGGAGGTTGAAGATGTCCGTTCAAAGGATGTCATGAAGAAAATCCAAGAATAAGTCCCAATTAACATGCTGGTAACAGAAAGAGGTCTTATGGATAGGAGTTTCCTGTTTAATGGATACTTGGAAGGAGATATCAATAGCTACCACAAGAGGGCAGTATTGTGAAGCTTGACAAGATCAAGGAGAGGAGGTAAGAAAAAGATCCAGTAAAGAAGCCTGTTGTTCAAATTGGCTAGGGAAATGAGTAGAGAAATCTATGATTGGAGTGAGGAATTGGGTAATGGAAATATTGAATGTCTGTATAATGGCAACATCAGTACCTTTAGTTTCAATGTTTCAGCCACGTGTCATGATGAGAATTAAAGTCACTTAAGCCAAAGATGTTCGCAGATGGATGGAGAGAAAGTGCCTTTTCTATACTGTCAGCTATTGCATCTAATATACTGCAGTCTTGGGAAGAGAGGGAAAAATAAAATGAAAAAGTAATAGCTGACAGAGTTTAGTAGTGAAAGACGGAAACACATGAAAGAGTAGTCAGTGGCCTTGAGAGACAATTACCTGGTCATTGGAAGATTATCCTGGATGTAAACACCAAGGCCATGCATGCACATGTTGGAATCTTTTCAGCAAAGGGGAAGATAGCCTGGGACCAAGAATTCATTGGTAGCAATGGAAGAATTCAAGTTGGCTTCACAGAGAGCAAAGATATCTGGCAACAATGCTGGAGAAGTTGGAACAGATACTACGAATATTGGAGAAAGATTGGAGTAGGCGGTGGCTTAGTTTTATTTCTTTTTGTTGTTATTTCCATGAGATATGTTTTGAGCAGATAGAAAAAAGACCACCATAATTGTCACTGTCATCAATGGCAATACAAACCAGCTCTCAGCCAGTGTGTGGCTGACAGCAGAGCATAATGTGACCTCAGGGTTGTCCACTGAAAATACATACAGGGACACCTACCCATGCAATTTAGAGCCTTAAACCTAATCTACCCCCACCCCCTGCTGAGACTGCTGCTTGTCATGCTTGACTGTATTCGCTAAGACCTCTCTTTTCTTACTGCTGTTGTAAAAAAAAAGAAAAGCCTTGGTGAATGCAGTTAAGTGTGACAAGCAGTTGCTTATAAAATATTAAAATAAAATAAAAAAAACTTTTAAAAGGTTCCAAAATTTGATTACATCTAACAAATTTATCTGACAAATTTTATAAAGATCCATTTAACTATTTGGAATTATTCTGAAGACAAACACACTCACAACACTAATTGTATTAACCTATTTTCACTAAGTTAATATTTAGTTTATGCTTAGGATTATAAATCTTCTATAGATACTCAGCATGCAATTGAATTAGGACAATTACTCTTCCAAAAGTATTTCTTTATTCATTTTCTTTTCATTCTAAAATAATGCATTATTATACAGATAAAATAGTAAATCTATTTTTAAATATCATTTGCTATTAGTATCTACATTGAATCAAAAATACTAACCAATGCCATTTGGTAATTCTATATCAAGATTATATATATTTATTGTAGTTTTAAAATAATTTTTTAAATTCCTTACCATAACGGAAAACACTTGGATATGCCAAAATAGGCCTTCCTGTGAACGTCCGTGTCTCATAAAATGGTAAAGGTTCATGACCGATCTGTAAGGGAAAAGAAACAATAATCAAATAAATTGTCTTATAAGAGAGAATCTCACTTTTGTTATGGAATATTTGTATTATCTCATAATTAATTTCCATTTTTGTACACTTTTTAAAATAGCAAAAAAGTCATACCTTGATACTCATTTTCAGACATATGGGTTTTTTAATAAAAACCAAGAGGATGTTGACTAAACTTAATAAAATACATTTTTATCATTATGATAATTACCAACACATTTACCTGACCCTGCTGAAGTAAAAATGGTTTATCAGGGTCATAAAGTTCACTTTTCTTGAATAAATTTATTTTATCAGTTTTAATTTTTGCCCTGTATATTACTTATAAAATATATTTAATAAAAATTAAAAAAAAAAAAAAAATTCCATAAGATTTATAAAAAACAATCTAAAAGATATATGTTATTTAGAAGAGTACACCAAAATCAATTATTACAATAAAATTAAGGGCATCATTGCTTTTAACATCCAAAATAAATTTACTATTTCAAATACTGAATAATGTCCCTTAGATATATTTACTTGGTTTTATTTTCTGATCAAATATTTTTTAAGCATCTACTCTAAAGTCTTGCATTAGATTCTACCTTGGTTTTCCGAAGTGGTACTGGACATTCCCATTCTATATGAAGGAAATACGTGTATCAAAAATGTCCCCAAAAGTTAAAACAAGGACATTACTTTTTCTTCTTCTAGGAGCTCACTGGCTTCAGATATCTCACTGAAATTCCAAAAGTATCAATGAAATTTATCACAGGAATTAACTAGTTGTTGCAATAGAGATTAAATAAATTACATTGCATTTTGGATGCTTTTATTTTATTTTTGAGTTTCAAATTCAAAAGGAGGTAAGGCTGACCTTTATTTATTTTAATTATTTTTGTTTTATAAATTCTTACTCTTATTTGTCAAATCTTGAATAATATTTCTTTTATTTATAAAGTTAAAGTTTTAAAAAAATTGTGATCACTATATGAGGCTAGATAAAAAAAATTAAAATTCAAGGAGGTAAAAATTTGTTTTGTACATTATAAAAATCAATGACACACAAAATCAGTATACTTTACTATCTTAAAGAGGGAGAGGTTTCCTGCTATGGATTGGGTTCTTTCTAAATTCTACTTCAACTCTATACTTCTAACATCTCCACCTAACCTATGAAATTTTATTTACTATTTCTTTTTTTCCTCAATAGAAAATAAGTTTGCCTATTGTTGGGTTCACACTCCTCCCTGGTATTTTAAGCAGGAGTAAAGGGCCATCTTTTGCTTCCTGTTTAGGATTAAGCTTCCGGTTACTTTTAAGTTTTTTCATTCTCTTTCACTTCTAGTAGCCCCTTGTGTCTTAATGGCATTATTGCCTTGCTTGGGGTGAATTGATTAAAAAACAAAGTACATTAAAATGGGTTTTCCCTATATCAATAAAGAGCTAAACTGATAGCAACAAAGGAAAGTAACTTTGAAGATAGTAAATAGAACACTTAAATGGATACACGATTCAATGTTTTTATATGTAATTCAAATTACAATGTGAAATAAAACTGATATTCAATTACTCCAAAATAAAAAAAGAAAAACAAGTTTATTTCTCTCTAGTGCAAGTATATAACCTATAAACAAATGTCAATTATTCCAATGAATACAGAGAAAATCAGGAAGCATTAATAGATACTCTCTGGATGATCATTTTTCAGAATGATAGATTGAAGGCAACAAGGTGTAACGTCCAACCAGCATAAGGACAGAGTCACAACTGAGGAAAATTATACTGAGAGGTGCCGGCCCTGGGGAACAGCTGCCTGAGGCCACGCCTTCTCATTGCACTAGAGAGAAGGATCCCTGCACCAATGCCAGCGCAACTGACGGTTGCAGGAGCTCAAGGAATTTTTGTTCCTTGCCGAAGTGTACGTGCTCGGGCTCCCCCACATTAAACCGACCTTGTGTCACAACCTGACCTCATGGGGGGTTGAGTAAATATAAATTACTATAAAGTAGAGTTGGGGGCTTTTTAACACCCAGAATTCATTGGATAATTGTGTTCCAATTTCACATTTATTCATATAGATTCTATAATATATGTTTTACTTAATTAGTTATGTTTCTCAAACTCTTCCAATGTTGAATGTATAACTAATTCTAATTCCTCATCTTTACACTATATTAATTTTATTTTATAAATTGTCCCCTGTTCTGTCATCCATGAAATAAAAATAATTGTTTGTACAGAAAATAAGGATCTATGTACATCAAATTGTCTTTAAATTAAGTAGCAGCAGAAGAATTATCATAGAACTTTTAAAAGGTAAGCTTAAACATCAATACAATACTTAAATGCAGCAATCAATTTTCAATTCTTCTGTAGTTTATTGATGCCTATCGCATCTACTCCTCCCAAGTTATTGTGATGATGGCCAAACCAAGAGTCATCCACAGGAACTAGTTTAAATGCTGCCCAATAGGGTGGCTTTTAAGCTAATTTATAATAAAACGTGCACTGCAATTTTGGATACAAAAGGAAAATAAGAGTTACTCCCCTTCAACCATGAAAGCAAGGATAATGACTAGTATAATATATTAATATATATTTTTTAATCTGGCAACCATGAATCTGAGCTCAACGAAGATCATTCTCAGCATTTAACTTTTCTAAGGCTTTTGAATTAGCTATGAATCATTAAAATCAGACTAGTGTAAGAGGAGGAGTTGCTCGGACACACACACATATACTGTACTTTATATAAAAGACTGGAAAAACAATACATCCTTTAATGAAAAAAAGGTATAATTATATATCCTTTATTGTAAAAAGGCATATTTTTTTTCACTGTATACTTTCATTTGCATTATATATTTTCTATTTGTATATACATGTTATTGGGTATTACTGGCACATAAAGCACCTAATTTGTATAATTTCTTTCACTTTGTGTGTTCAATAAATTTATCGTATTTCTCTTTTCTAAACTTGGCTTATGTCGTCCATCATGTGCTTTGGCTTTACATCGATGTTACCACAAACATTTGTTTGAACTGTTTTTGTAGAGTTTTTTTACCTTATAAAAAATCATATATACAAGTGTTATATTTCAGTTATTGAACTATTAATTTCATGTGAATGTCATGTAGTGTGTTTTTCCAGAATACAATCTCCAACCGAATGGCTTGACTTGCAAATATTTTAGAATATAAATTTCCCTTAACATGAATTTAAAAAAAAAAAAAAATTCCTTACTGTTATATTAATTCTATATATAATTAACTCTTTCCAGATTGAATTTATATTAAAATTTTACCAGTTTTAAGTTAGCTTAAATTAAATTTGTGAACTATGGACAATATATATATATATATATATATATTATTACTTAAATGTTATTTTTAGTGGATGCCCATATTTGAGTAGACAGTCCATTTGTTTATTAAACAGTATATTTATTTAATTTTATCTAACAGCCTGAATATTCAAGAAATCTTATTAAAGAAAAATATGCACTTTCTGGCAGGAGACACTGCCATTGGATCTGATATGCTTTAGACCACCTCAGCCAGGGAGTGTACCAAAAATCAAGAAAAGTTGAATAGTGCCTTTACTTGATCATCAACATATAACTGGACATTGAGGTCAACATCCAGCAGCAACATTCTATTTCAGACCCTATTGGCTCAATTATATATAATGGTCAATGGTATATTATGGATAGAAGGTCTATTGTATTACCTAACAGTTATTGAGTGGGCGGTAATGGTTATGTTTCAAGATAATAAACTACTCCATAAAATAGCTACAAATAACTCCATTCAGATCCAATTATTTCTACTCAATAGCCTCTAGAATTTGAAACAACCATTACCGCCCACTCAACAATCATTAGGATAATACAATAAACCTTCAACTGAAGATGTGCCATTGACTATATGAATAGACAAGTCAAAACATAACATTACTTTAAGATTGTGTTCAAGCATGAAACAGACTGTTGCCACTGGATGTTGGCCTCAATGTCAGCTTTTATATTTATAAAAAATTTATAGAAATATAAATTATTCTGGATATTAAGAACTTTAACCCAGAAATATAGCATCCTGTAAAACACACACACACTATATATATATATATATATATATATTCTGGTTAAGCAAAACCCAAATTACTGCTTTTAAACACACACCTTCACCAATCTTTCTTGACCTATCATATCTGCTCTGAATCTGTAAACTAATTTGAGCTTTGCTTAACCAGAAGTTCTGTGCCTAAACAGTTATAGCATACCAGGCTTAATGGTTGTTCTGTATAGGATTCAGGTTCAATTCCTGTAGCAGAACATATTTTCTATGAAATTTCTCAAACATTCAGGCTGGTAAATGTAATTAATAGTTTAATTAAAGAACAGAGCATTTACTCTGTGCATCCATAAAAAATAATGTATAAGCAGAAAATATGTTAAATATTTGTCAGATTCAATCCATTTCCTATATGTTGTCATTGTTTGCATTAGGTTACAAATTCAGAGCAGATATGATAGATCAAGAAAGATCGGCAGAGATGTGCGTTTAAAAGCAGTAATTCGAGCTTTGCTTAACCGGAAGTTCTCAGTGGCTCAGCAATCATAGCACATCAGACTTAATGGTGGTTATATATATATATATATATATATATATATATATATATTGACTTAACCAATGGAAAAATACCAATGCATCCAAATCGATATAATAAACTATTACCCCTCCATTACAAAAAAGATATTGAACAAAGCTATACAACTCGCATTACAGCATGTACAGATCATGGATGATGAAATAAAAATAATTAAACACTTCCGGAAATCCCTATTGTTCCACAACAATAAACCATGAGCAAAAAAAAACAAAATAATAGCCTGTTTGACATAACAATGGGAAGCTATGACAGAGCAGAAATCTGCAATCTGGTAGATATTCTTATCCTTTCATACCTAGCCAGAATACTAGAGAAAAAAG